GCGTCCCTTCCGGGCCGGGAGGACGAAGGCATCCACCCTGCTGCTCGACAACCGACTTCTCCACCACCAGCTGGCGAAGTCTTACACCCCTGCAGCAGATAGTGCCAGCGCCATCACGAAGAGGACCCTGTACTTCGTCCATTCGATCCGCCAGCGCAACCATCCTCTCCACCTGGGTTTGGTGGTGGCCAAGACCTTTGAGAAGACTGCTACAGAGCTGAAGAGCCTCCACTGCGCCCCCCTCATCACCCGCCTGGCCACTTTCTTTGGCCTTTCACTGCAGGGGTGCACCGAGGAGGGAGACACCCTCATCTTTGGCTGCAAGACGATCGGGAAGATGCAGCTGCTGCGGGAGAGGAACGGTGTTCTGTGGGTCGATGGGTTTCCGGAACCTCCGATCCCCGCGGAGCTCGCGCCAGAGGCCCAGCCAGAGGGCCAGGAGGGGGAGGCTGCGGATGAGGTGGATCCCGAGGAGGTGGATGTTGCTGCTGCTGCTGATGCTGCCCCCCGCCCCACCACCTTCGAGTATGGCGGTGGCAGCTCCGCTTTCCAGGGCCATGATTACTTCTCTCATCAGTTCGAGCAGCTGCGGATCCAGAACCAGCTGATCCTCGACCAGCAGATGCTGTTCCATCAGCAGTACGCGACAGACCAGGCCGAGTACCGGAACAGGATGGCTGCTTATGACGAGCGGGTGAACATGATCCAGACTCAGCAGGGCGTGACTCTCGCCCACATCGAGCGGGAGAAGCGCCGTTCACGGCGCATGCAGGAGGTTCAGCAGCACCTGCTCCAGCTGATCCCGGGCGAGCAGCCTGTCTGGAGGACTCCCTGGGATGACTCCCCTCCACATGCCCCAGCTGACGGTGATGATGGCGCTGCTGGCGCTGCTGATGATGACGCGTTCATGAACGACATCGACCTCGACGATCTTGGCGACGAGTAGGCTGTACTCATTGCCCGTCTCAGTGTGTTTTCTTTTTCGGTTTAGACTCTTGTGTGTTTGCTCCATGTGTGCGGAGCTTGAACTTAGTGTCGTTTGTTTTTGTTTTTGGTTTTCCTTTGTGGTTTGATGTAGCCGTCTGGGCTAACACTTATCCCTAACGCACAGTGTGCTAGTGTGTTTCTGGTGTTCGATTTGTGCAGCATTGTCCACTCTCCCGTTTGTTTCTCGCTGACTGGTCCACTTCCAGTCCCTCAACAGTGTTCCAATCCGGTAACATAGTTCCCCTTATCTTTCCCTCTACTCCATTGAGGGCAATGTCGTGCTTAAGTGTGGGGGGGTGCTTTGTATCGGTTGGAATATTTATTTGGGTGCTTGGAGCCTAGTCCGCTGTCCGAATCTTACGATTTGAGGGCTCCAAGTACTGCTGTTTGATCATATTGGCACTGTGTTTTGATGGATGAATTGATTGGTTTTCGGATGAATGCATGACAACTTGTTTGAGACTAGGACAACCTATGATGAGGACTGAGATGTGCAGTAGAACGATGTAGGGGTTCAGTTTTTCAACTGTTTGCTTGCCAACTGTGACTTGGTCTGATTACTTGTTCTTGACAGTCGTTTATGCATCTAGTTTAGGGTATCAGAATGTGAGATAGAGCATATAGGTAGCCATGTGAGGTTTGAGCCTGCTCGTTTCTTTCTTGTGCGATAGATCCCTCCTCCATGATGTGTAGCATTCACGTTGTCACTAGCTAAGATGATGGGGGCATAGGATTAGCCCACGTCCAAAACTGACTGTCCTGATGTGTCATATCCCTTAGTCAGCCCCTTTGAGCCGTGTGTTATCCTTTCTTTTGGTCTATAATGAAAAAAATCACCCTTGTTGCATCTTTTAGAAGGTTCCACAAAGTGGTTTTTACATATTCTCTGCTGTTTCTGCTAAAGTCTATGTGAGTGTTGGAGGTAGTGCTTAAAAGTTGGGCAGGTGTTTGAAATTTATGCAGAAGTGGTGGCTCTCTTAAGAAATGAAAAGAAAAATGAAAGAAAAACAAAGAAAAATTGAAAGCAAAAGAGAGCCACTACAAAAAATCTGAATAATGCCCATTAAGTAGTGTTTCTTAGCAGTCTGGCTTGGAAATGCTGATGTTTATGCCTCCTTCGCTCTTGTGCTCTTGAGATATTGAGTAATGCAGAATAGCAGAAAGAAAATACCGGTTTGTTTGACTGTGATTGTGTGTTTGGAAAATGTGGAACCTTTTGCTATGAATACTTCGACCACCTAAAAGGCTTTTTCCCCATGTCCAAGACCCTAGCCAGTCATTTGAACCTGTGTCTAAGACCTCCTGATTAGTTAGTGGTGACACCCCATATGTGAACTCTAGCATTTAGAGGCTGCCATCATGGTGAAGAGATGATAGGGATTGAGAGAAATAGCATGCGCATCTTTCGCATCAAATTGTCCTGACCCCACTGGTCGAGAGTGAGTGATTCATTTTCATTTTCTATATGCTCTTGTACCCCGGTGAGGACCTAGATTGCTCGGTCTCTATTCTGATGTTTTGAGTTGGATGCATGAGTTGACTGTTTTGAGTAAGTGGTTGAATCAAGTCTAGGTTGGCCAGTGAACAGAAGGGAGACTCTTCCTTTACTCGATTTGCTGCACTCGAATGTCCTTTGTGGTGGTTGTCCAGGTTGTTATTGAGGTTGTTCATGTATTGATGTTTGAAAACCAGTGCGATTCACGTGTTCTGTGCCTTTATGACTTGTCCCCAATGTTGGTTTATTGAAATATGTAAGCTTACCTGGTGTCTGACTTGGTTTGCTTGGGGACAAGCAAACGGTTAAGTGTGGGTGAGTTTGATAGACCGTTATTTACACATGTTTTTACCCTCGTTCTTACACCGTTTGAGGTGTTGATTCTCATGTTTTAGGCCGATTTCACGCTAGGTTGTGCTTGTTTGTGATATTTCAGGTCCTAGTACGTGAATGGAGGCTTGGGAGCGAGTCTGGAGTCGATTGGACGAAGATCGGACGATTGGCGAGATTTCAAGGAAGCTGCACGGGCAGACCATGGCATCGCACGGCCGTGCGAAGTACAATCCAGGCCGTGCGGAATTCTGCGAGAGCATGCACGGGCAGGCCAGACTTCTCACACGGCCGTGCCATTGAGCGCCCTGGCCGTGTGGTTTTTGCCGAGGCCGAGCACGGGCTGGATGGAAACCCTACACGGCCGTGCACCCTGGCCGTGTGAGAAGCCTAAGAACTAAACCATACGCCGCGTTTTGAGCCGCACGGCCAAAGTGGTGATCTGCACGGCCGTGCACCCTGGCCGTGCGAGTCGGGAAATCCTGGTTTTAGAGCCTCTTCCGAGCCAAAAGTGGGAGAATCGAGTTTTCAGAGCAAAAACAGAGCCCTAGAGAGAGAAAGTGCGAAGAACACGTCATAGAAGTTATCTCGGAGCTGGGTTTCGTCGAATCGAGCTTGGAGATCGTCATAGGAGTGGAAATCATAATCCCGGAGCAGATTTTCCTCATCGTTATGAGTATGACTACCCTGATTACTGTTTTCTCTTCTCTCTCTATAGAGTAGAACCCTTCTCTCACTTGGGTATGAAGAACCCTAGTTCCTTGTGTTAGGGATTTGATTGTAATGACTTGGGATGATATTACTGTTTGATTTTAATCGAATGACGCATGTTTATTGAATTGATTGGAGTCTGATCAGCTTTTCTCAATTTCTGCTGCAACCTGAGATAGATAGAATCTGATTAGGTTGTTAGAGTCCCTTCATTCGATAGTAGGAGATTGGCTATACGAGAGTTAGCCAGTTTACTGCTTTGTACTGGAATTCAATTCCAGTAGTGGAATTCTGTGTTCATAGCCTCAGCTTTCTATCCCGGTGAAGACTAGTCGTCTGCCGGGTAGTTAGACTTAGAGGGCTTGGTCAGCTTAAGAAATTCCAAGCTACTGTCGGATCTTCCGCAGTCTAATCAACAGTAAATCAACCCAGGGAATTACAATTGAACCTAACTAAGGGGCTAGGGGGACTCAATCCCGAGTGACTCTTTCCTGACTTTGAAAACCGAACAATTTACTGCTTTCTTACTGCTTTAGCTTTAACAACAATCACTCGAATTAGTTTGCTAGATAATAGAGAATCACGGAGTAAGCAGTAGATCTAGACCCCGGGTTGATAATATAACTTTCCTGTTACTGCATTCCCGGACTGCGATTACACTTGGTCGCAGTTTGATGTTGTGTTTTGGCGTGTCAAGAAGTGAGCGCAGACCAACGATCGAAGAGCCTACCGACCCATCTTAGGCACAACGCAGAACCCACCGACGATTCCTTTATCCCTATCAGCCCTAACTTCGTGAGAGAAGAACATCGGAACCGGCCACGTCTGGCTCTGTCAACTTAATGAAACTGAAAGGTAAGAAAGGAAGATTTTCATCTTCCTTCCCCCTTGCAACCTTCCCTTCGTTGTTGCCATTGAAAAAAAAGGACAAGAACCTACAGACGATTCCTCTGTCCCGATCAGCCCTAGCTTTCAGAAATCGATTTGGAATGTATGTGTTCTTCTTCTTTCTCTCATGCCTTTCTTCTGTTAAGTGGTTGTGGGAGATGACCAACGAGAGGAAAGAGAACAGAGATAAAGGAGAGTAACTGATAAGAAGAAAGGAAATAAAAATATATTTTATTTTTTATTTTGCTTCTTCCATGCATTTATTCTTTTCTGCGTGAGTATATGAGAGAGAGAGAGGGATGTGATTGGAAGACGTAAAACAAGAAGAGAAAAGACAACAGCAGACTAAGAATTACAAAAGTGCCATTGGTGAAGGAAAATGTACACCTCATTTTTCTTCTTCTTCCTTTGCGTGAGAGATAAGAGAGAAAGTGAGAAGTGGAAGTGATAGTACCAACTCAAAGAAGTCAGAGAAAAGCCAACTAAGAAATGATGAGAAGCAAAAAGTAAACCAAGTAACAGTGTTTGGATGTGACTCTAATAAACAGTGCAGCCTTTGCTTGTTCTTTTAATAGAAGAATCATCCTCAACTAAAAAAAATTATTTATGGATGACAAAAATTCAAATAGTCATAATTCACACGAATTACTCATAATTCACACTCCAATTAACTTAGAGTCAAAGAAAAGATGGATAGGTCTTCATCAGTCATGTAGATTACGTTCCAACCGCTTGATCAAAAGTAAAATTAAAATCTCTATATATGTTTCTTGAATCATTGCTTGGAAGCCTTTTTTTTTAACAGTTTGTGATCCAAATCGACCCTATATCTCCCCTTCATTCACCTCCTCCTCTTTCCCACCCTTAAAATCAGCCGATCTCCAATGAAGGAAACTTCCAAAAAGCCCTTCGATCTCCTCGAGCGTCTTCCCTTGCGTCTCGGGGTAAAAGAGGAAAAAGAAGACGAACCCAACCACCGAAACCCCGGCAAAGAGGAAGAACGCCCCTCCGATCGTGATGGCCTTGTAGAGCGACAAGAAGGTCATCGAGATCGCCCCACTCACCACCCGATTCACCACCATCCCCAAACCGATCCCTTGCGCCCGCAACCGAAGCGAGAATATCTCTGCGCTGTATACCAACGTGACAGGCCCCGCTCCGATCGAGAAGAACGCCACCGCCGACAGCACCATGGAGACGGACACAACCACCGCCCACGGGACCGTTTCGGTCGGGTCCCGTTCGATGACCGTGAGGCTGGTTGCGAGCGTGGCCAGCGAGACGAACACCCCGGCGTAGCTCGTCAGAAGCAACGGGCGCCTGCCGACTTTGTCCAGTAGAATCATCGCCACCAGGACGAAAACCAACTTCATTACTCCCATAGCCACCGTGGCCAGGAGCTTCTCGTTGTTCGATGTGATTCCTGCTTTCTCGAAGATTCTCGGGCTGTACAAGATGACGGTGTCGAAGCCGATGGCCTGCTGGAAGAAGTGGATCCCTAGGGCGCAGAGCAACACGTGGCGCACGCGGCGGGTTGGGTGGATTATTAGGTCTTTCCACACGCCTTCCCCTGTGGTTCGTTTTCGGCCCGCAACGACGTCGTTGTGGTCTCTTGGGATCCCCGCAGCTTCCTTGATATCGTCTAGTCTGTGTCGTGACTCCTCCTTGGTGTCTGAAATCTTGTCCAATACTCGTCTGGCATCTGCAAGTCGGCCTTGCATTACAAGCCATCGAGGTGATTCCGGCATGACTAAGGCGCCGACGGCGAGGATGACGGATGGGACTGCCCCGATTCCCAGCATGAATCGCCACCCTTGGTTTGCTGGAAGCTTCGAGAATCCGTAGTTTGAGACATACCCAATCAGAATTCCGACGTTGTTAAAAACCTGGAAGAAACAATATTTACGATACGAAAAAAAATCAGAATCGAGCGAATGCAAAAAGAATTCACGATTGAGAAATTTGAGTACAGTCTCTAGTCACGTTGGATAACAAATCATCTAATTCACTCTTTTTTTTTATTTATTCACGTTATATTTGCGTTATTTACGTAAGAGTGTTGATTATACATGCAACTAATATTGTTAGGTCACGCAACCGGATGTTTATTCACGCATATTGTTAATTATACACGCTGTTGTTAAATAAAATTATAAACTTTGAAATATATCAAAATGGAGGTTACATGTGTAGATTATGATCAATGCAGCACACTTTTACAGAGTAATTGACAATTCAAATTTAATTTCATAAAATATAACCAATACGAATTGTTAGAGGGAAAAACTATGATTTTCCATTTACGTGAATAACCTACACTCTTACGTGAATTAACCATAGTATTACGCGAATAAATACCAAAATAACGTGAATAAACACAAAAATACGTGAAAAAGGTTGATTTTAAATGTTTTTGTCACCTAACCTGAGAAGAGATTGTTTCCGAGTAATTTATAACAAAAAATTGCCTAAATGAAGAGTTAACGGACTCTTTCAAGCAGTTGCTACTTGCTAGCACTAGGATGGGAGACATTTTTTTTTTATTGTGTCAATACTCAATACTACGAGTTCATTATTGTCATTTTACCCATGTCATGATTAATAATTGGGATGACAAAATTATCCATCACCACTAATACCCTATTGATCTTGAATTCATTTTATCAAGGAAAATTTAATCGGTATAATATATGGGTCGATTTTCACCAAATATGACCAAAAGAAGTAATGGTTTTGATGTGAGTGACTGAGTGTGTTGTTTTATATATACAATTATGCTCTAGATTCTCTCGCTTATGATAATCCAACCAATTATGTTTATCTCTTAGACCCGAAGTCTTGTTCATGAAATTCTCCTTTACTTATCTAAATGGTATGCTACAAATTCAGTCAAACGTTTTGAAAAAGAAAAAAAAAAATACACTATATAAAATATTGGTATATAAAAAAGTTGATAACATATAACGAAAGCAATGTATTCACCTCAGGAAAGGTAGTTAGGAATCCACGGTAGGATGCAGGGGCCACCTCGGCGGTATAGACGGGTGCAACCGTGCAGGCGAAACCGACGCCGATCCCGGCGAAGAAACGGCCGATCATGAGGAAGGTGTAACTGGTGGAGAGGCCCATGAGCAGTGCCCCAGCAAGGAAATTAGCGGCGGCTATGACGAAGGTGTAGCGGCGGCCGATCCAGTCGGAGCTTCGTCCGGCGGCGATGGAGCCGAAGAGGGAGTAGATGTTTAGGGTTCCCACCAACAGTTCTACTTGGACGTCGGAGATGCTGAATTGGTCTTTGATGTAGATCACCGCGCCACTCATCACTCCAATGTCTGAAATGAAGGGCAAAACATGAATCACGTACGTCTGGTGTATGCTAGCCTTATAAATTATAATACGTAATACAGTAACACAAGAGGGGTGAACTGAGATTAATATAATGAAGTACTGACCATAACCAAGTAAGGCGTTAGCCACGGAAGCCATAATTGCACAGATGAGAGCGAACTTGTTTATCTTGGGTTTCTTGAGATGACCATGATCATTATCAGCCACGGTTTCGCTGCAACAGGGAATTCATAGAGATTTCAGAGTAATACGAGAGACTCGAAGACGATAGAAAGAATGATTAACTTGGTTTTGAACTAGAATGCCATCCACAGACTCCTCTGTTTGTGTTTGTTACACAGCTTTGGACAATCAATGGCCACTCCAGAGCTGTGATTCACTAAAGCATCGAGTTTCTCAAATTGATAATTAATTCAACTAATTTTTTTTTTTACTCGGAATAGAGGGTCCGGATCTCGTCAATAACAAACACTTTGGTCTAGAAGAAACATGTTTAAATATACAATTGTTAAGTATCGGTGAAATTTGAACCATAAACCTCATTAATATTAGTCAATATTTCTAGCAAAGAACCATCACTAAACAATTACCTTAACTCATCGTCATTTTATATACTATACACGGTAGTTTCTACATAAATAATATTAAAATACTGAGGAATTTTACAATGCTATATAGTATTGGTGCTATAGATTGTTCTCTTTAAGTTGTACCTTTAACGTTATGGTACAACTTCAAATTGTACCTATACTTTTGTACAAATTCTCTTATGGTACAACTTGAACTTGTACCTTTATGTAATGGTACAACTTTAAGTTGTAAAGTTGTATCATAAATAAGGGAATAAATTCCTTTATGGTACAACGTAAACCTATACATTTAATGTTATAGTACAACTTCAAGGCGTACATTAAAGCACCAATGTTTTATAGCATAGTAGAAGTGTTCTAAAATAATATCTAACTTGATTCTAATAATGACTTCTTTGATAGTGATACCTTAGATTTGGATTTCTCAACTACATTATATATCTAGTGAAGATTGGCTGTAGGTTTAAAGAACTAAATATCATTTTTGAGTTCTTTAGGATCATGGTCGGACACTGAAGGAAGCAACTAAGCTTTGCCACCAGCCTTTAAGTGTAGAAAGTACATTTGTAATGAGCTATGTGAAACATACTCTTCAATATTGAATGAGTGATAAATCATGAATGATTGTTTGATTAAATATATTGAGATTGACATCGTCTGAATGTGTCTTACAAATTTTACGAAACACGAAAAATACCGCGAGAAAAATGTCTAATTTAAAGTAAAACCATAAGCAATTTGTGTAAAACTACATATAATTTAAGCAGAAAATTGATCGAAAACAGAACATATCAGGTCGATGAGAATAGTCATATCTTTATTTAAAACGGGTCAAACAAATCCTGTAAAACGGTTCACGTCTAAACAAAGCCGGAGATATTAATTATGCCTATCTGAAAAATCGTAGCAGAATCATATTCTGATTCCCTCTCAACGTGTGGTCCTTCTATTTTGTTGTGGTTGATTTCCTACTTTATTATTATTGAAATTTTGGTTGAATTCTTTTCTATAAAAATAAAAACAACTTTTTCCCCAAACTGTGGGGGCTTCTATTTCTTCAATGATTCCCTTTCTCTCCGCATTGTTTCAACACCCCTAAAAATGGACCCTAGTCTAATTAATTTCATTTCCACCCCTTTCTCTGTCATCTAACTCATCATCTTCCCACCATAAAAAAAAAAAACTCATCATCTTCCCCAATTATTTCTCCACCCATTACTGCTCTCCTTCTTCTTCTTCTTCTTTCCCTTCATCCCCAAAGTTTCTGAGCTTGCAATTTAACCGGAAACAAGAAACGGGTACTCTCCAGATCTCTACCACACCTTTCTCCAATGAAACAGCGGTCATCCTCTTGGAGCCGCAGGCAGTTGTTACTTTGGCCATAATACCATACACACAAATTTTCTAAAGTAACATAATTCGCACTTGGGAAAATTAATAATCGCAAATTTTGAACACGAATTTTCTACAATACGCGATTCTGCGCGCTCTCCAAGACCCAATCATCTACCCCCACAACACAATTGAACCAATGTACTCCTCGATCGATCGGAATCAAACATTCAACCTCAGACTTAATCCCAACATTTACAATGAACCGGATCGAGGTACGTACCTGCATACATTCCGCGGCGGATTTCTCTCTATAAGCTGCTCATGAGAGTCATCCAAATTGTTTCCCCCGCCGAAGTTCGAGTAGCCCATCGAATCTCTCTCACTCGGAGCACAAGCGAGGAAGGATACTGTGTGTTTGGAGCTTTGGGTTTTGTTTTTGTAAAGGAAAACTGTGTGTTGGGTTTGGGGATGGATGATTGGTTTAGTTTGTAGCTGCGGCAGAAGAGTAGAAATGGGAGTTTTTTTTTTTTTTTTTTAGTGCGCAATTGCTAGGACAGTGCCAGTGGTACTGACTACTGATGCATACGTTTGGTTGTTGAGTTTTTTTGGGTTCACGTTTAATACCCTTAACTGGATGGATGGTCCCGCGTACGTCTGGACCGGGCAAGAGGAGGAGGCCTGATATTTGTGAAGGCTACTGGGCCTAATAACGTACGCTTCTTGATTTCTTCAATAAAGTCAAGAGCTACTGCTCCACCGACAGTGAAGGGTCAGTCGGCCATGGTAGTACAGTACAACGACGCAATTGGTTGATGATTAATGCATGGATTTGATCGCTCAACATTGCAATAAGTAGTAGTAAGTACAGTTTGGTTAATAGTCTTTCAATAATCAAATTGGACATGCTGTCAGCCATTATCATTTGAAGAGAGTGCACCCAAACGTAACAACTTGTCAACTTTACCTACCCATCATTAGGGGTGTACATGGGTCGGTTGTTTCGGGTTTAACTATTTAAACCCTACGGTTTGTTTCTAATTGGGTTGGGTCGGGTTGAAGATATTTTTAAGTAAAAACCCAACCCAACATAAAATATACAATTATTATACATCATAAAAATATTTTATAACTAATTAAAATTTCAAACGAATAAACCGAGGTGAAAAGTATCAAAATTCACAAATGTTAGTTGAATTTTAATATAATGTGATTTATTTCAACATATGTCTAGTTTTTTTACGATATTTGTTGAAATAGACTAAAAAGGTTATAAACAATCGCATCCATAATATATTATTCTATTAAAATTGTACACAAGAAAAAGGATTACGTGAATCATAATTATATTCAATTTATGTCTAAACTTTAAGTCGAAGAATGCATTAGATTAGGGAGACCATGATAGGAAAACATGACGAAATATCTAACTTTCTCGTAAGTATGGCTATATACGACATAAATATTTTTAGATACGAACTCATACTAATAGTTGGAACACGGGTTGGGTCGGGTTCTACGGGTTGTATAATCCAAAATCCAAACCCAACCCAAAAGAGGCTGGTTGTACAAAAGAAAACCCTCACCCAACCCAAAACCTTCGTTTTAGCGATAAATACGGGTGGGTTGGGTCGGGTTGAACGGGTGGGCCGGTTTGCGGGTGTGTTTGTTCACCCCTACCCATCATACATCAAAATTACATTTTTTTTAAAAAAAAAAGCTGTATAATTTCACTCACGGCAGAGTGTTTGAAACAATATAATCACTTTTTTAAGAAAAGCACAAGCAAAACGGGTGGTCTATCTTTATAAAAAAAAAACAGGGTGGTCTATCCAGTATCCACCTAATGTCGTAGCCAGATTTTAAGTTCATTGGAGTCCTTTAAAATGTATTGACACTAAAGTATGTGTATCTATTGAAATCGGAACACAGAATGGAGAAATTCTAGGGATTCGGAGAATTTGGGGAACATACTAAGGAAGGAGAGGAATACGCAGATGCAGTGTCTATGACACTCGTATTAAGTTTCTCCGTCAGTCTTAAGAGAACAAAACACAGTGGGCTCTAGTTAGGGAAGTAACGAGTCTCTCAAGCCCAGTAAATGTCAAATACTGAGGAATAGACTTTTTTCCTCTTTCCTTAGAGCAGAACCAAACCAAAAATGGAGCAAAGAGCAGAGTAAACAGAAAACCAAACCACACGACACAGCTGAAAAATAAAGAGAGCACATGCAATTTTAATGAGGTTCCCAATCTACGGGCCAGTCCTCGTCCTGGAGATAGCACTTGCTACGTTCCGGGAGACTCGTTTTTTATTTGATGTTTTCACCTATAAAAGCAAAATGAAACAAATTACAAAGAACTCAAAGAAGAACCCAGATCAAATCCCAGACCTGTCACCACCCTTAAGTAATCAGAACCTATTCCTCTGATTGCCCAAGTTCCTTAGAATCCAAGAAGCACTGTAGCATGTTAGAAACCAACGGGTTGGGCTGGTCGGGTGAGGGGGATGACAGTTTTGTTATTTTTATTATTTCTGTTTAGTATTTAAGAGGAGGAAACACTGATCTGCAGATTAGTGAATAATCAATATTTCAACCTAAATCCCTAAGTTCCCAATTCTCTATCTCTTGCTCTTCCCCAATCCCTCTCAAATCCCTAATTTATTCTATTCTCAATCCCTAATTCCCTTGTGGAACTTCTTTGTTTCTAACATCTGGTATCAGAGCCCGGTTCCGACCGGCGAGTTTTCTCAACTCCATCAGGGACAGCTTCCGACCTGGAGAGTTACCAAGAACAATAATGGAGAAATCAGAGCAGACATGGGCTCAGAAGTAGGAAAAGATGTGGCAGATTGTGGGCTATTGAAAGGAGAGAGCGGCGCGCGGTGCCGCGGCAGGGAAGGAGGACGAGGGCGGAGGCCGCTTTCGCTCGAGGAGGCTGGCCGAGGCGGAGCAGTGGCGCTCGAGGAGGCTGGCCGAGGCGGGGCGGAGGCCGCGTCGCGAGCTGCGGCGGCGCGCACGGTAGCAGGTGGCGGTGCGGGGAGCGGGCCGCTCGTGGGGGCGACCAGAAGCGGGGCGGAGGTCGCGCGGTGCCCGGGTGCGCGCACGGAAGGAGGGGAGACGGCGACGATCTCCTTGCACTCCGTAGCGGGGATTTCGTAGCGCGGAACCCTGCGATTTCGAGCAAAGGTGGCCGGGCAACAGGGCCTCGTCCTTGTCGACAGTGGGGCGTCGCTAAATTTTATCGGGGAGGACTTGCTAAAACCCTACAGGTGGCAGCGAGTCCGACGCAACCGTTAGTGGTCAGAGTGGCTAATGGCGCGCCGATGCGGTGGGTTGAGGTGTACAGAGACCTGGCTATGGAGATTCAAGGCCTCGAGGGCGCCACTGACCTTTATGTACTACCTCTGCGCGGGTTTGATATTATTCTCGGTATACCTTGGCTGCAAAGCTTGGGACCGATAACCAGGGGTTGGAGGAGTCTGACGATGTGTTTCAAGTGGAGGGACAAGGAATGGAGGTTGAGGGGTCTGACCACGGCCATTGGGCCTGTCGAGATGGAGAGTGCGCGAAGGGGGAGGACACCGAGCTCGCTGTCCTATGCTGGACTCTATCCGCGGCAGGGACATCAGAAATTGATGGGGAGATACAGGAGCTGTTGGATCGGTATCCCGAGCTATTTCAGGCGCCAACCACGCTCCCACCCCACCGACAGGTCGATCACCAGATTTGCTTGAAAGAAGGAGTGGAAGCAATGAATGTGATGCCATATCGTTATGGGCACTCACAGAAGGGGGAGATCGAGAAGCAGGTAGAGGAGATGCTCGCCACCGGACTGATTCGGCCTAGTACCAGTCCTTTCTCTTGTCCGGTGCTGCTGGTTAAGAAGAAGGATGAGACTTGGAGGTTCTGCACAGACTACCGAGCCCTCAACAAAGCTACAGTCAAGGATCGATTTCCCATCCCGACAGTGGATGATATGCTCGATGAGCTACATGGGACGAGCTATTTCACTAAGCTTGACTTGAGAACCGGATACCATCAGATCAGGATGCAGGAGGAGGATGTGCCCAAAACAGCATTCCGCACCCACAATGGCCATTATGAGTACTTGGTCATGCCACTGTGCAATGCTCCCTCTACCTTCCAAGCAGCCATGAACGACATTTTTCGGCCACTCTTGAGACGGTATGTCTTGGTATTTTTCGATGATATACTGGTATATAGCCCGACTTGGGAGGACCATTTGAGACATTTGCAGGAGGTGTTTGAGATTCTTCGAAAACATCAGTATTATGTCAAGGCCTCCAAATGTGCATTCGGAGTGCAGAAGGTGGATTATCTGGGTCATGTGGTGACTCCTCAGGGAGTACAGGTGGACCAGACCAAGATTCAAGCCATGGTGGACTGGCCTGTACCCACCAACGTGACCGAGTTACGAGGCTTCCTGGGATTGACGGGGTACTATCGGAAGTTTTTGCAGGGATACAGTATGATAGCGAGACCCCTGACGGACCTGCTGAAGAAAGGGGGATTTGGGTGGTCACCGCAGGCGGAAGAGGCATTCCAGAAGCTGAAGCAGGGCAGTGCTGTCCCAGGATCGACATCCCATTGCTTTCATGAGCAAGACTCTGCCGCCCTTGAAAGAGGCCTGGTCGACATATCAGAAGAAGATGCAGGCCATCATCACAGCAGTACAGACTTGGAGACCATATCTGTTGGGCCAGAAGTTTCACATCTATATAGATCATCAGAGTCTGAAGCATTTCCTTGAGCAGCGGGTGTCGACACCAGATCAGCACAAGTGGATTTCGAAATTACTGGGGTATGACTACGAGATCCACTACAGACCGGGACCCACCAATGTGGTGGCGGACGGCCTGTCCAGGCGGCCGGGAGGAGAGGTTCTCATGGCGGTGACCGGACCCGTTCCGGAGTTCTGGGATGAGCTTCGTACATCTTTGGAGACCAGTCTGTATCTGCAGAACTGCCGGGATATTACACTGAGTGACGATCCATACCGCTACCAGTTAAGACACGGGTTAGTATTTTTCAAGGGCCATGTGGTCCTTCCGCGGGGGTCGAACCTGGTCACTACAGTGCTGGTGGAGTTTCACAACTCGCCGCTGGGGGGGTCATTCGGGGGTAGAGCGGACTCTACGCTGGATCCGGGCTCATTTCTACTGGCCCCGTATGGCGGATGATGTGAAGCACTATGTGGCATCTTGTGACACCTGTCAGAGGGTGAAGCTATCCCATCTGTGACCTGCGGGGTTGTTGCAGCCGCTACCGGTACCGGAGCAGGTCTGGGAGGACATCAGTATGGATTTTATAGTGGGACTTCCTCCATCAGGCGGCAAGGCTGTGTTGTTTGTGGTGGTAGACCGTCTGACGAAGTATGCTCACTTCATACCATTGGCCCATCCATGCACGGCGAAGACCGTGGCTGAGCAGTTCGTGACCAGGGTGGTGCGGCATCACGGGTTCCCTCGATCTATTGTGAGTGATCGGGATCCAGTCTTCTTGACCCACTTCTGGCAGGAGGTCTTTGCTATGGCAAAGACGGCGTTGCGTATGAACTCGGCCTATCATCCGCAGACAGATGGACATACGGA